TCATAACAATAGCCTGCAGTGTGGACCACAGCAATGAGTTCACTACATTCAAATGAAAAAACAAGAACAGAAAAATGCCATTTAGCCCTTTTAGTTTGTTCTACCGTTCAATTAGATCACTGTTGATCTCCATTATAACTGCATTTACCTGCCTTGGCTCTATAACTGTGAATTTCCCAGTCTGACATATTTATCCACTTCAATTTTAAAATTTTCCGTTGATTATTTTTTTGGGGGAGTAAGAGATTTTCAGGTTTTCGGTACCTAGTATGAAGAAATGCTTCTTAATTTTACACCTGAATGTTGTGGTACTAATTAAAGTTATTGTTTTGGACTCTTCTCCACCACACCCAACCTCCTCTCTACCACACCCAACCTCCAATAGAGGATGTGGTTTTTCCTTATTTATCATGCCAACACCTATAATTAACACAATCATCTCAACTATATTATTAATTAAACTCCCATACTCAAGGGAATAAAGGGCTCACCTATGCAATCATTCCTCATAATTATAATTTTTCATCCTAATATTATTTTGGTGATTCTGCCTTGTGGTCTCTCCAAGGTTAGTATACACTTCCTGAAGCATATTGCTCAGAATTGAACTTAATAGTCTAAATGGAGTCTAATCAGATTTTCACATGTATGTAAAATAACTTCTACTATTTAAAAGTTCAGACCTTGAGAAAGAGGTCAGTATTTTAATAGAGTTTTTCATTATTTTGTCTAGCTATCCTCATCTTCACAGGAGACCACTAAACCTCACTGTTGCTCTGCACTTCCTGATTGCTCACGATGGTTAAACTACTCTGATCTATCATTCTTGACTTTGCGACATAAATTTCATAACAATTGCCTGTGATGTGGACCACAGTAATGAATTCATTACATTCAAATCAGAAAGCAAGAACAAAAATAAGCCATTTAGCCCCTTCAGTCTGATGTGTCATTCAATTAGATCATTGCTGATCTCCATCATAACTGCATCTACCTGCCTTGGCTCTATGGCTGCAAACATCCCAGTCCAACATATTTATCCATTTCAGTTTTGAAAGTTTCTATTGGTCTGTTTTTTGGGGGGCAAAAAAAAAGAGATTTTCAGGTGGGATGATTTCCTAAGTTTCCCACATTGAACTTCACCCCTCACAGCACTGACTAGTCACATAATCTACAAATTTAGGCGGCACAGTGGTTAGCACTGCTACCTCACAGCGCCAGGGACCCGGGTTTGATTCCAGCCTCGGGCGACTGTCTGTGTGGAGTTTGCACATTCTCTCCGTGTCTGAGTGGTTTTCCTCCAGGTGCTCCGGTTTCCTCCCACAGTCCAAAGATGTGCAGGTTAGGTGGATTGGCCATGCTAAACTGCCCGTAGTGTTCAGGGAGGTGTAGATTAGGTGGGTTATAGGGGGATGGGTTTGGGTGGGATGCTCCAAGGTTCGGTGTGGACTTGTTGGGCCGAAGGGCCTGTTTCCACACTGTAGGGATTCTATGATTCTATTCTATGAAATGGCATTTTGCAGAGATTGCTGATGCTTCATTTTTGAACAGACCTAAAATCTGAGAGACAGATTTTGCTTATAGGTAATTAAGAAATATGGGACACATATATGAAAGTGGAACTGAAATCAAAGATCAGCAATGATTGTATTCAATGGCAAAGCAGAATCAATTCCTGTTTTCATATGTTATGTTGTAAGTTTCTGTCCCCACTAAAACCAATTATCTTAGACAGCAGGTTCTATATTTTCAAAATGACTTTGAAAGAATATCATAAAAAGCTGACCCTTCAGTACAGACACCTGGAGGAAATCACTTGGCAAGTGGAATACAAAACTTGTTGCACTACTCTACCTCCTACACCCTAAATAATAGCCTAACCCTATATATAGTGCCACCAATTCCAATTGTTCCAATATTAGATAACACTCACATTTCAGTAGGAATAAAAATACAGCAGAAATTATAAGGCATAAAGAAATAAACACTAAATATTGTTGTCGTGGAATGTCTCTGAGCTTCATGATTATTAGATTTTGAAGACTTACCAAGTGCCTGTTTCAAATTTGTGATTCACTCTTTCTGGATTGGTAAACCTGTGATCTAAACAGAGCAAAGTGTTATAAATTCAATTCATTCACATTAAAACAAAGAGAAGTCTGCTGAGCTGATGTTGCCTTACTGTGGGGTTCAGCTACAATGGTTAATATAATGTCACTTGAAGTCATAATATCTGAAACACCAAACTGGAAGGAGTCTGATCTATCTTCAAGGTGTAGATCTGCAGAAACTATCAAGGAAAGAAGTGCTTAAAAATAATGGTCTAACAGTATCATAACAGTGCAATGTAGGATTAGACATCTGAAGAACTGATTGCAAATTTTATAAGATCTATCCATGACACAAACCATGAATTTACTGCTAAATTGGATGACATGGGAAAGATGCAAATTTATGTCAACCTCGAACACAAGCAGCCCCATCTAGGGTCATAGGGACATACATCCTTCGGCCCAATTCGTTCATACCAGCCAGGTTTCCTAAACTGAACTAGTCCCATTTGCCAGCATTTGGCCCATATCGCTCTAAATCCTTCCTATCCATGTACCCATCCAAATTTCTTTTAAATGGTGTAATGGTACAGGCAGGTACCATTTCCTCTGGCAGCTCATTCCACATACACACCATCCTCTGTGTGAAAAAGTTGCCACTCAGGTCCATCTTAAATCTTTCCCCTCTCAGCGGAGGTGGGAGAGGTGGGCACGATAGCATCATTTAAGATGTATCTAGACAGATACATGAATGGGCAGGGAGCAGAGGGATACAGATCCTTGGAAAATAGGGGACAGGTTTAGATAGAGGATCTGGATCGGTGCAGACTTGGAGGGCTGAAGGGCCTGTTCCTGTGCGGTAATTTTCTTTGTTCTTCTCTCATCTTAAACCTATGCCCTCAAGTTTTGGACTCCCCTGCCCAGGGAAAAAGACCTTGGCTATTCACCTTATCTATGCCTCTCATGATTTTACCAACCTCTATAAGGTCACCCCTCAGTCTCCAACCCTCCAGGGAAAAAAGTCTCAGCTTCTCCAACCTCTTCTTATAACTCAAACCCTCCAGTCTCAGTAACATCCTCGCAAATCTTTTTTGCACCCTTTCCAGTTTAATAACATCCTTTCTACAACAGGGTGACCAGCATTGAGTGCAATATACCAAATGTGGCCGGACCAATGTCTTGTACAGCTGTAACACGGTGTCCCAACTCCTGCACTCAATGCTCTGCTCCTTCTACGCACACTACTTGAAGATACGGTTGTACTGTCAGAATTGCAATGAACTTTTACATTTTTTTTCCTATTAATGACTTCTGTCATTAATTTAGGTCCCATGGTACGGTGACTTATAAACCATTTCACTTCATTTTTTTTGTAATAATGCCCTGACAGTAAATTGTTATTCTATTCTATTAATTGGTACTGAGCATTCAGGCTGGAAAGGTACCAGGTTTTATCTTCAACCTGTTTTGTATTAGTGCAGGCAGTGAAGTTTGTAGTATAGTCATAAAGGACTTAAGGAACCTGAGCTAATACAAAAGTATCAGTTAGGATTCCTGCTCAAAATACTATAGAGTGATTCTCACTGCACATGCTTGGACTATAGGAATGAGCAGCACTGAAAGCAACTAACATCTTTCTGTTCTGAGGAAGGGTCCCTGGACCCGAAACATTAACTTTGATTTCTCCTCACAAATGCTGCCAGACCTGCTGAGTTTTTCCAGCAACTTCTGTTTTTGTTTCTAACATCTTTCTTGTTTGCTGGCAACCCACAGTTAATGTTCGCAAATTAACACCTACTACAATGAGGTAACAGGAATCTGTCCACATTATGATACCATTATTGGAGTATATCACAACTTCTGCAGAGAGGGAAAGGGGGTAATAAGACAGAATATTTGGGGGTGGGGAACAGTGAAATGTATTGCACTGTCAAAAGATCATGACTATCCTATAATTGCCCTTAAAACGAGTCCACTCTTTGATCAAGTCTTTGACATTATTTTACCCTACGTGGAGGCAGAAAACCAATATTTTGTATTTTACATAATGCACAATTGATCCTATTGTGTATTAGTATCAGTGCCCTATACTTAACGAACAATGTGGGTGCCATTAAGCTTTGACAAAGATAAAATATTCTTCATTACTTTGAGCACAATTTCTCGCAATGAAAATATACTGACACTTGCACTCAAATGCATCATGGAGATCACCCACCTCAGGGAAATTTTGTTATTTCTTGTTTAAAAAACTCCTTTACTGAAGTAAATTCAATTTGGAGTATCACAGAAAAGAACTGGATCCCTGATTCTGATTAGTAAAATGTAACAGCATAATTAAGGAGTATCTGCTAAAATTTGTTAACTTACAAACTTGAGACATTTGCTTGAAGCATCCAGAAAAATGCATACATTTTTGTTTAAGCAGCAATAAACTGATACATTTTAAATAATCAGGTCAGGACTGAATGTGAACTTAATCAAGGGGGCAATAGGTTGAAAAATCTTATGAATATCAATGTAAGGTTAAGGTACCCCATTATCTCGAAACATTTAAGACATACTTATTGGAGGGAAATTTTTTTTCAATCAACTGTTTTAGGCTTTCTTACAAAAGTTCATTCTGTAGTGAGGTGATTGAACAGCTAAAGGGTTAACTACAAAATACCTGTTTAAATCATTAACATGAAAACATATCCAAGTGAAAAATTATGTGCCACCCAAATATCTCCACTGCATCCTTGGGTGGTAGAAAGAAAAACAAATTCTACTTTGGATCATTAGAGACTTTCAAAACCAATGTTAAATTCCAAGTGGCTAATTTAATGAAGAATTGCACTGCATGATATGGTATTGAGCTATGTAAACAAGATCCGCTAGACATTTCAAACCAATCTGATCAGAGATGTTATTACACACTTCTGGAGCAACTAGGACTTGAACCTGGGTCTCCTGACTCAGAGGTAGGGAAACTGCCACCACAATAACCCTATTAGTGCACCACATTTGTTCCAGTTTAATAGGGCTCAGCTATGGTGAACACATATGACAGCATTACCTCTGGCTGAGTAGCTTAACAGGCAATATCCTTGTTCTAGATGCAGTGACACCTAGTTTTTGAAAAATGGATATACTGACCTTAAATGAGGACATGATTAGGCTCTCACAATCAAAGCAACTTGCTGAAACTTGAGTGCCTTGGCTCGTACTCAATACAACTGTAATCTTGCAAAGAATTTACTGAACCTCAAATTTGGTTTGTCATTTGTGAAATGATTTCCTAGTATGACTAGTTGACTTCAGAAAAGAAAAAGGTTGTGTGAACCTAAGCCAGTGACTTTAATTGGGAGATTTGACTGTGCATCATTGGCTATCTTTGTCTGGGTATCACCACGACGTTCACAGTAAGGGTGACTGGGTACAATCAGCAATGAGAACTATAGCTGATTTGTAACCTCTCTAGCTAAGAAACACCAAGAATAATAGCAGAAACTCTGGCTCATATCAGAAAATTCATCACATGTTGTGGCTCAAACTTATAGCAGCCTATGGTGATTTTGGAAGCCTTTAACCTGGACCACTGAAAAAATTCTCATCTGTCCAGTATTCATGTGCAAGACTAGACAATGAGTAGAAAGCCTTTTTTGATTATGGAAATATTAATCAGAACCACATTCTGTTTTCACCCAGTGTTAACACAAATACATTTTTAGCATAAGTCACTACAACAAGTCACTTGTATTTATATAGTGCCTTTAATGGAATAAAACCATTCCAAGGTATGACATCAAGCCAGACAAGGAGACATTAGATTAGATAGGCAAAGCTTTACAAAAAAGAAAAGTATAAGGAATGTCTTAAAGATGGCAAGTGAATGGTGAGCAACTTCAGAGCCTAGGATCTATAGTGAAGATACAGATACCAATTGTGGAAAAATTAAGGCCAAGGATGCCCAAAACACCAGAATTAGAGCACCTCACGGATTGCGGGAATGCAAGGGATTACAGAATTGGATCGGTACAGAGTGGGATAGGTCACTGGAGTGATCGGGACCAGATAGACCTCATTGACAATGAGGTTCTTGATTGTGGTTGTTAACCAAGCAGTAAAGCCTTGGCTGACCAATATAACTGGGAGATTAGAATCACCTCAGTTGAGGACTGACTCCAAGCTGGCTAGCCACAGCCAGTGTACTGCACGCTAGTAAACAAAGGGTGACTTGGTAACCATTCCTGGCCTTTGTGTAGTTATTTCAGTCTCAAAGGGGTTTGAAAAATAAGATTTATCTCTTTATAAAATAAGGAATTGCTCTGCTGGAAGCCAACATGGATCAGTGAGTACAAGGGTGAGTATGACTTAGTAAAAGTAGGGACATGGGTACATTTTGGTATTAGCCAGGGAGAAGGTAAAACGCTGGTCATGAGTGCAGTGGAGCTACTTTTGCTGATTTTTCTGATCTACACAAAGAATCTTTGGTCCAGTGCAGTCACCTCTCACTACATGCAATTGACTGGGGTCAATACAAGCTAGTACAGAGCATAAAATTAATTTGGTCAGGAGGACTTGGTGCTTCACTGCACCATGCATTTATATACAGCCATCATGGAATCTTTTGGGAATTCTAAATTAGCACTTTTTATTTGCTTGCTTATATGATAGATCTCTGTAAAACAATTAATGCCTCAGTGCTGAATTTGTAGGCAGAATTTGACAAGGCATGTTTTATAGCATTACCTCATCAAGCATCATCACACATTTCTAGTAATGTAGCATGTTGTCCTTGAGGAGAGGGTCACTTAAAACTTCATCAAGACTAAAAAATTAGAGTAAAGGCAGGAGGGGCTCTTGTTGTTTAGGGCAAGGTGGCTCACAAGATGACGGTTTTTTTCACAGTCATATCATCCACAGAATGATCACCTTTGTGTTGCTATACAGTTTACAAGAATGCATTTCTTAAGATCATAGAATGCAGGAACAGAAGTAAGCCATTGAGTCTTATCTGCCATTCAATGAGATCATGGCTGAGCTGACAGTCTGCAATTCCACTTTCCTACCTTATCCCCATAATGCTTGATTTCCTTGCTATTTAAATGTTTGTCCACTCAGCTTGAATATACTTTGACAAAGCCTCGTCAGCCCAGGCGAGGAATTTGACAAATTCACTATCCGCAGACAAAGAAATATGTCTTCATGTCTGTCTTAAATGGGTGACCCCTTACTCTGAGATTTTGACCTCTACTCCCAGACTCTCACAAAAAGAAACAACCACTCTACAACTGCCCTATCGAGTCCCCTAAGAAACTTCCATCATTCAATAAAGTCTTGTCTCATTCTCCTAAACACCAGTGAGAACAAGCCTAACCTACTCAAATTCACCTTATTAGAAAATCCCTCTATGCCTGGGATCAACCTAGTGAACCTTCTCTGGACTGCCTCCAATGCTGGTATATGTTTCCTTGGATAAGGGGACCAAAACTGTTCATTGAATTCCAGATCTGATCGGACTAGCTCCTTGTATAGTTTTAGCAAGACCTCCCTATTTTTATACCCGTTCCCTTTGAAATAATGGGCAACATTCTATTGGCCTATCCTATTACCTGCTGAAATTGCATGCTAGTTTATTTTTGTGATTTATGCACAAGAACACTCAAATCTCTTTGTGCTGTAGCTTTCTGCAGTCTTTCTCCAGTTAAATAATATTCAGCCCCTCTATTCTTCCTGTCAAACTACACACTCAACTCTCCCCACATTATATCACACTTAATTTTTGCCCATTCACTTAACCTATCTATATTCCTCTGTAGAGTCTGTATGTCATCCTCACTATTTGCCATCTTACCTATTTTTAAGCCATGCACAAACATGGCAATATTACATTCACTTCCCTCATGCAAGTCATGAATACATATTGTAAACAATTGTGGCCCTAGCACTGATTCCAATGACACTAGTTTTAGGTAGTCATTATGAAAACATCCCCTTTATCCCAGCTTTGTTTTCTATTATTTATAAATCCTCCATTGGTTCTAATATATTACCTCCAACATATGGGTTCTTATTAATTAGCCTAATGTGTGATAGTTTATAAACAAAGGCGTCCCATAAGGTAAGTGATACATGCGTTTTGCCAAACACCGTATCTCTTTAAATGGATTTGGTTTTCTGTGAAAACTGAATTTCACCGTGTCCAGCAGGTTGTTTTTTTTTCCCTGCACGGTATTATTGGGTGGCAAGTGTTCCACATTTCGTTTATGGCTTTGAAAGAGCCCTGCCGGGGAACTTCGGAGAAATTCACTTCCGCATGTGAAACACAAACCACCGCCTGCTGTGATGGGGGTGGGGTGGAAAGAGAGTATAAAAAATTGTAAAGGATACATTTGGACATAGCACGGAGATCGAGCTCCTGCAGAGCAGGCGCATCTGGGCAGCATTTCTTAAACTCTTTTTGCAAATCGAAGAAAGAATAGAAGCATTCTGGCAACACGACATTCTGTCAGAGGAAGCAAGAACGAAATGGAAATCACAACCCTTGGTTTATGAAATGTAATTCACAACAAAGACCGTATTCGTGTATTAGAAATGACAAGGAGAAGCAATTTCTAACACCAGCAGGGAGTACAGTAAAGTTATTTGGGACAATCGGCCGCAGTACATTAGTAAAAACACAATTTAAACATGGTGGTTAAACTGATCTTAAACACAGGTTTGATATCCGGTTTGACCCCATATCATCAGGCCAAAGTTGATAAATGTTATAATTTTCTTTGAAATAGACATTAGAATCATTTACTTTTTTGTATAAAAAGGACTCGTTTGTGAATGTGCAGACCTTGTTGGAAGCTTCAGGGTGGAAGACTTGGCGAATTAGTAGTTGGCTATCTGTACAAAGGCAGAAGGAAGTGCCCACTCCGATATTCAACTCAGTGCTCACAGATCGATTGAACTGCGTAAGAACAACAGATGATCAATATCAGCACTTGCCTGTGAGCTCCATATAATAAACGATCCATCAATGGAAGTCACACCCTGCTCCACATAAACCGTGAGAAACAAACGCCAAGCATGAAACTTCACCACCGCAATTTATATGTCCATAGAACCTTGAAGGTAATCCCAAAGTAGTCCACGAGAACATTATAAAACACAAATCATTATTGACAACTTCTGTTCATTAAAGGGGTGTTGCTTTTGATGTCTGCATATCTATGCATTAACCTTTATGCTCCTGTTTGAAACGTTATTACATTGATTAATGTGCTGAATCACTTCTGCTCAAATGATTTAATGTGAAGCAATGTTCAAAAACGGATTTCGATACATTGTATAATCAATCCTTTTATTTTTCGAATCTTGCCCTCCAAGTCTGTTCATTTTGCCGCGTTAAATTAAGTCGAGGGTCATCTTGCTACTAGGGCTAGCAGAAAGGGTCGGTTCAGTTTCTCGTGTGCTCCAAGGGATCTTGCACAGTGGTTTTACTGGGAGCCTGCAACACTGTTGTGCTGTTAATACTGTAGGCCGACAGTGCGATTCAGCTGTGTTGCGGGTTAGACAGGTCAGTACAAAAACATAGTTCAATAGATTCCAAATTTGTATCTATCCGCTCCATACATCTAACTATTCATCGCCGAACAGCATTCAGACGTAAACCTTAGTATTCAAAATAACCACGCACCACACTGCCTAAAAAACACATCATTAGTTTTAAAGAACATTTTATTCATTATCATGCGCCTTACTGAAATCATTTAAATAGTCAGTCATTCTCCAAACTCCTTAATGCGGTAATTAAACAGCTTGCATTTGTTTCTGCCGGATGGCAACTTAATATCTACGTCTTGTTCAGGAAAAAATCAGCAGAACTTAGAAGATCGAATTTATTGACAGCATTATTCGAGTTCAATCTACAGTCCGAATCAGCCGTTTTTTTAACCTTTACTTTCCACTAACAAAATATGAAGTTTCCCAAACTAAAACTATTTCAAAAGTAGAACGAAACAATTTCTCCTCCCCCTGCAAGTCGTACTGACATCAAAATAATAAAAATCGTCCAAGTGGCAAGGGGAAAGAAAAACAAGCCAAAACCAGCACCAGTGGCGAGTAGCGCGGATTCGGTCTGCCAATAGCACAAATTCGACGAAGCAGCGAAGGCGGTACAATCACCTGTTGAAGGACTTGTTCCAGACTTTCTGCCGTGGTCAGGTCTTGCACAGTGATGTTAGCGTGCTCCGGAGATTGCTCTGTGAGCTCCAAGTCATTCGGCTTTACAAATACTTTGTGCACTTCCCCCGCCTAGGGAAAATAAACACATACAAGAACAGATAAACCAAGACAGTTGTATTCACATTTCGGGACTGGGATGGGAGACCAGACATTCTCTCTCTCTGTCTGTAATAGTAACGATTTCTTTCTTTATTCCACAGCCCACAACTTTTCACAGCAGTACTAGTTATAAAATGGTTCCGTACCTCTTGATTGACCAAATCCACCACTTGCCACAACAGAAGCACCAACTCCTTCTCATCAGATCCCAGCTTTTTCCCATGTGCCCCCGCAGTTGCCCCAAATAAAACAACCAAATAATCAAGAGACGCCGTCATGCTCATGAGGAAAAGAGAGACACTAAACTCTAAACACCACTAAAACCCGAGAAGTGACCCTCAACGAAACGCTCCCCTCCCCCCAATAAAGCAGACAGGACGAAGCCACCCCACACCTACACCAGGACAACTACAACCAGATAAAATACAGCGGCCCGGGGGAGGGGAGGTCGCTGAAATTTTTTTTCGCTTGCGTGAGAATCCATGTAAATACGCTGCTCCACCTTCAACGGGCTCGTTTTGTTTTGCATTTACCTGCCCACAACCACGTGAGTTGAGAAACGTACCTGGCTCCGACACAACAGGAGCCATTGGCTGCGTTGCTGCAGGTACGTGGCATTATGACTGAACAGAATAGAACTGAAAAAACTGCGTTCAGTGGCAGACACTGGAAAGCCCACTTTGTTCCGTTTGCAAGGTGGGCAGGGAAATGATGCACCCCCGGGACGAGTTCATGCCATTTACCTGCAACACAAACTAATAGGTATTCAAATTAAAGATCCGCATTGAATTAAACATATATCCAAAAAAAGTTTCAGTTGTCAAAACTTGATCTGTTTTCGTTTCATCCCACCTAACAACTTTGAGAACACCGTTTCAAAAATTGAGAAGTTAGATCTTATCACGAGATCTAACCTGCTCGTTTATTGCATTAAGCCAAATTCCAGCGGGTTGATCGGAGCTGGATCAAGGTAAAGATTTGAGAACAGAAGGAATCCCAAGATCAAGGTGAATATGTATGTGACAGGCATTCCGGTCGGATGATGGAGGCTGGCGTGATCTTTTCTCACTGGATCCCGTGGGAAGGCGTGTCCACACCTTTAACTACAGTCTCAAGGTCAAGAGAAATACGGGTAGATTAGAGGTGGTCACAATCAGAGTCACAGGACAAGATGCGTGAATTCCCGATTGATACAACTGGCCGTGTTTTTTGTTAAATCCTGTTATCCCAACCGGAAGTATTCGAGAAAGGTGTTCATTTTAAATACCCAAATTTTGAAGTCGACGCCCTTATTTCCCGGAAATCAGTTCCAAAGTTTCTCGCTATCCATTCTATTTTGCTAAGAAATGAGAATCGTGGGCTCCGTGTTATTCAGTGTATTAATTCGCAAAATAGTTATAGTTGTTACAAGTTCAAAATGTTCTATGGGTGGTCAAACTGTGGGAATCGTTTAAAAGAATATTAAATCGGAACAAGGACTGAATTACGAAACCAGCTAAATTTTTAAAAAAAAATTCCATCTTCAATTTTGGGTTTCGGGTCTGGGAGTGGTGAATTAGTTATTTTGAACAGCAGACTCTTGAATGGCAACAATGGGTGGCGTTTCTTGTTTGTGATGAGAAATAATACAAAAAATACACACGTAGCTATCAAGACATTTTCAGAACAATGTTAGAGGTGTCATCTTCCATATGAGATCTAATTCCATGGTCCCATCTGCCTTTTCAGGTGGACATAATAAATTCCTTGTCATTACTCTGTAGAAGAGCTGGGAGAACTCCTTGGTGCCCCAATAGGTCAATGAGGGGTATCTCTATTAATACCACAAGTCACCTGGTTATCACATTTCTTGTTTGTGAGAGCTTGTGTGTAAGTTAACTGCTGTGTTTCCTTCTTCCCTACAAAGTGGCAAATGCTGCAAAGCACTTTAGGAGGTACAGTGGGTTGTAAAAGACACTACACACATATAAGCGAGACAACAAGGTGCAGGGCTGGATGAACACAGCAGGCCAAGCAGCATCATAGGAGCAGAGAGGCTGATGTTTCGGGCCTAGACCCTTCATCAGAAAAACTATTACATTACAGTTTCTAATGCATGAGACCGTCTCTCAGCGGACACCTGTCCCTCCACACACATATAAGCCTTGTGTTTTTTTTCTCTCTCACCTCACTTTCAAATGCCCTGCACACCCTTCTAGCTGAAACAGCATTGCATCACAAACCACAGTATGCTGCATTTCATCACAAACTCAGCTTGACACCAGACTGAAAAGGCCATCTGACAGCTGAGAACCAGTAAGGCCTCCATCACTTTTCAAATCCCTGCTGAGATCTGAAATAAGGCAAGTACTCCTGAACTCAACTACTTCATCTGGAAGAAAGAGCCTGCATATCTCTGAGATGCTGCAACTGTGACCATGCTTAAGAAAGGAGATAAGACTGATTGCAGAAATTACATGGGTCACCCCTGCTATCCACCAGGTTATTGCAAAACTCTTTCTCATCCCATCCTACCAGTGGATAAAAAGCTCCTACTAGAGTCAAAATGTGGGTTCCGCCCACCAAGAAGCACAATAGATGTGATCTTCACAGCAAGACAAATTCACAAAAAGTATAGAGAGAGGCAGCTTCAAAAAGACAAAAGCCTTCAACCCTATCACCCTGGAGTGATTATGGAGTGTCCTTCTTAAATTTGGCTGTCTGCAGAAATTCATCACCTTCTCCTGTCCACTGCACAAGGACATTCAAGCCTTGATCTTCACCAACAGATCTACCAAAGATCCAATATATTTGTAAACCAGGGTCAACCAAGACTATGTCAACACGCCAATGTTATTCTCCAAAGTCCTTGCCACAGCATTCCCCATATCCATGAGGGCAGAAAAGTTTAAAGCCTTTCTATATGCAAAGACATGGACAACACATGCTCAGCATCTCAAACTCCTTGAGAAATATCACCAGCAATGCCTGTGCAAAATCTTGCAAATCCATTGGCAAGATAGATGGTCCAATATCAGTATTCTCTTTCAGCCAACATTCCCAGTATCAAGGCATTGGTTACCATCGATCAGCTGCATTGGTATGCCATGCCATCTGTGGGTCTAACACAAAACTTCCAAATCAAACAGTCTAATCCAAACTTTGTCATGGCAAGTGACTACCAATAAGACAAAGAAAACACTTCAAGAATGTCCATAAAGACTCCCTGGGAAGCTAATATCCCCAAAAATATCATGGTAATCTCTAGTCCAAGACTGCCCAAATGGGAGAAGCAGCATGTGCAATGGTGCATGCAGTTTTGAGAATCTCCAACAGACCTAGATGGAGGCCAAACACAGTGGAAGGAATGTGTACAATGCTGAGCATCCCTCATTAAAACACCTCTGGCGACACCCATGCCAGTTTTTTGTGCAATATTAGACTATTTATTCACCCTAGGAGACAGAACACTGAAGTGGAAGAAAATATTCTCGATCCTGAGAGACTGCCTAAGAAGAAGAAAGGACAAGTGAGTACATTTCAAAATACTTAATTGGGTGCAAAGCTCTATAGGAGTCAGATGGGTTGTGAAAGAAGTAAATGAATGTAATTTTTCTTATCTTTTTCTTCTCACTGGAAGATCCCACTCTTCCAGCTGAAAAGATTTAATTCTAATTCTTCCACTTTGCTCTTCTGTCTTAGATGCTCAACGTACGGTGTCTTCTGATTTGGAAAGACCACGTACAGATTGGGTGACACAGAGATGCGCATGGGGTGTCATGTCTGAGGAATTAAATGAGAGTCACCAGGAGCTAGCAAGGTGAGATACAAGGTGGTGGGGATGCTTGAGTGTGGTGGGGATTGCTAGTCATCAACTAAATAAAATAACTTTTCAACTGCCATACAATATCCCTTACAAACGGTTCACATATAAGAGGTCTATTTATAGTCTGCCACCTCACCACTAATATTGTTGACACTACTTCCCAATATACACACGTATCTCTGACCAACTACCCTATCAGGCAGACACATGCAGTAACCCCACTGTCCAACCCCATCCCCTATGCATTTACTTAGCACCCCTCCTCAAACCCTTTCTTAGGTTGGCATTGTTCTCCTTGAAGAGAAAAAATTAAAAGGAAGTCTGAAAAAGTTTCAAAATCATGCAAGGTCTAGACACAGTAGATATGGAAAATCTGTTCCCATTAGTAAAAGGATAATGATCAAGAAGGCATAGATTTAAAGTGATTGCAAAAAAAAGTAAATGTGACGTGAGAAAAATCTTTTTCACGCAATAAGTGGTTTAGGTCTGGAATGCACTGTTTGGAAACCTGGTGGAAGTAGGTTCAATTGAGACATTTAAGAGGACATTGAATGATTATTTGAATAGAAAGAATGTGCAAAGGTTCAGGGATAAAGCAGGAGAATGGCACTAAGTCATAATGCACAGTTGGAGAGCTGGTGCAGATATATGGCCTCAAATGACCCCCTTCCGTTCTGCAACACTTTTATGATTCTGGAAATCCCTTGAATGCAATTTCTGCCCTTGTTACAGCAGTGAAATGGCTTTTAAAGCCACTAATGACATATTATGAGTCCGAATTTAGTTGCTTTATCACTGCAGCTTCAGCTGCCAAGACCCCAAGGACATAAAGAAATTCCCTCTTTAAACCTCTATTTTACCCATTAAGATGCTCCTCTTTCACAAAGTCTTTGTTACCCGCCATAATATCTCATGCAGCTAACTAGGAAATCTTGCTTTAAAACCCTCTTACGAAGCACTTTCAGACATTATATTACTTTAAAATTGTTATATATAAATAGAGGTAATATTGTTCAACATCCATTCTCTCCATCTCTGGTGCACTGTGGTTGTAGAGTATATTATATTCAGGATCCACTATAATAACTTCTCAAGGTGTCTTTGATGGTAAATCTCAAAATTATTACCTATAAAGATGAGGCTAAGGAACACATGGAAAAGCCATGGCTTCAAAATTTCTTTCCAAGTTACACACCATCTTGATTTGGATATTCTTCTTCCCATTGCTTTATTGCCTTTTTGTCAAAAGCTGGCTTTGCTGATGAACACCTATCCCAATTTATTTTTTATTCATTCATAGATTGTGGGCACCACTGGCTGGGCCAGTATTTACTGTCCATCCTGTATTTCCCTTTGATCTGAGTGACTTATTGGGATCATTTCAGAGGGAAGTTAACAGTCAATCACTTCGTGTGGGTCTGGAGTAACATATAGGCCAGACCAGGTAAGGGAGACAGACTTCCTTCCGTAAAGGGCATTAGTAAACAGTAATTAGGAAATATATTTTCTAAAGCATTTCATGTTTGAAGCTTTTTAAACTTACTGCCCCAAAAAAGATCTGGAATGAAAATCATAAATGGCATCTCCTATGACCGCAATCTGGAGGAGTATCCACCTGCACTCTTCTCAACCTCCCTACAGCCTTTGAGATGGTTTACCATATAATTATTTTGCCCTTCTATTGTTACCTTAGTAGTCCCACAAGGATTTGTCCTTGTCTCTTTCTATTTCTTATACA